ATTAAGCTGGCCGCCGGAGATGATCGAGCGTAGGATGGAGCTCACCACCACAGGGGCCACACAATACGCACCACCTTGCGATGTATGGGGAATTGGAGCAATAATGCATAACCTTGCCCACACTTTTCATCCGATCGTGACACCCTATCACCTTCGAGACGTATGGACATCACAGGGGAACGTACCTCCTTATCCAAGCAACTGGCCCGAATCGAGAACATGGAATTACTGGGCAGCAAGAGTTCCACGGCGTGTGGTCCCCATCAACCTTCCGACAGATACAGTGCCGGAACTCATGGGTTTCGTGAAGCGGTCTCCTACTGATCTCATAGATGTCGAAGCGTTATTCTCCCGAGACCGTCGACCCAGTCCAAAATACTCTGATCAACTCAATCACTGCCTGATGCTTGCTTTGAACATGGATCCGCTCCAGCGCGTGCGCGCTGGAGAGTTATTCATCGTTATTCTCGAAAAGCATACGAATCTCCTCATCGAAACAAGACCACCGCAGTATACAGAACACCTCAGAGACCTCGTAGCTCGCTGAAAAAAAGGATCCATGATAAGGGGGCTTACGGTGCTTGGACCTTGAGCACGCACTGGTGGGCTAGAGAGTTACTGTATTATAGATCGATTTAGGAGCTCATCAGGCTTGGAGAATTTCACTTCGTACCAGCAACCATTGTTTGGGCTAGAAAAGATATGCAGAATCGAGTCCGCAGAATACACGTATGTTGTATTTGCAAGGACGGTCAAGCCTGGAGTGGAGTGCCTTGTGCATGAAGACGCGCTAAATTACCGGCATGTACCGGTAAATGACTAATCTCCCTGCTAGGTAATTTACCCATTCCATCCTGAACACAAGCGCGCCATGTTCGCGACTTGTACGACTGCCCGGACACCACTGCAACACCAACAATCCCGCGCCGCTTCAACAAACTTCCATCAAGGGTACTGCATACAATGTACGTACCACTTTCCTATTCTGTGACTTTTTTTTTACAAGTATGATGACCCCAAACACTTGAACCGAGTGTCTCATAGGCAGCCCTCTCTTGCTAGTCCGCGGCTTGCGTATGTTAGCCTAGATGAACGAGACCGTGGCCTGTCGTGAGACGCCATGCGCGAGCACAAGAGCTTCTGACTGTTGTTTGTCTCTTCTGATAAACTCACCTTGTAGTCTGTTGCGAACTGACACATCCACAGGTCATACTGTACTGTGGTACGTTGGGTTCGGCAAACTTGCTTGTCTCCTGAATTAGAGGTCGTAGGGCGTAAGAAGCTTAGTAGAACGTCTCATTCGCATAATCTATCCTGGGGATCTCAAGTGATCTGGCATCTCAACGTAAAGAATGGTCTGACTCCTTGTAACGCCCTTCCCATACTGTTTAAACAGCGCGTCCGACAGCAAAACATTCGGGCAGGATGAGTATCACTGCCGTGAAGTGATCTCCATGCCCTCCGCTATCGCTGAGACGGTTTTGCCCTTGTGTTTGAACAAATCTGCATTTGGCTCTTTCTCCTTCTTGGGCTCCTTGTACCAGAGTTGTTCTTGGTATGTCAGCAGGCTTTTTTGTATAACGTCGGTCAACGCCTGCATCACGCTGTTGCTGCTAGCAGCCTTTACTTTGTCTTTTCCGATGGTGTAGTGGCTCACGAATCTGCCATTACACTCGCTCTATTCCTTGTTAGCCCTCAGTTTGGTATCACGAATAGCATGCAAATTACGCACTATGCCATATGGGTGGCCCTCCAAGGTATCTGCCAAGAATCCAGGCCAGCCCACTGCATCATCACAGGGTATGCTGACAATGGTCTCAGCGGTCTTGTTGAAGTCATAGCGAATGTATTCCGAAAAAGCGCGCTGTTCGTGACTCCAGTTGTATGCCCACTGCTTGCAGCCAGGATAGCGCTCTTCGCTTGGGCAGTCACGCCATGCTTCCAGCATCTCCAGAGTGGTCTCTGAGTTTTGCGCGACGACAAATCCAGTGTTCAGAACGCGGAGGCCCTTGCTATCTCTGCTGATGGACGAGCCATCTGCTATGAATTCCTCAGTGTCCCAGGGCATGGCGATAGAGGTATGTTTGTGTATGCCCCATCGGTTAAACATCCACTCCAGGGGAACTTCGAGATGTGGAATTGTGGCGTCTGCGTCCATGGCAACTACAAACTGATAGTCGGGCAGCAATTCGCGGAAGACATGCGGCATGATCCAGGTGTCATGACGATCCTTCATGTGTTGCGCCTGGTAGAACTTGTAGTCGTATCCGTGGATCATGGCATAAAGATAATGGTTCATGATGGCGTTGGATACGAGTCCTCCTCCCTCCAGCTCTAGATTCTCCCAGTCCATCAGAGCAGGGTTGAGGATTTGATTCTGTCCAGTCGGGACCCGCGTGTCGATGTCTACGATTAGGATCTTCTTGCCCAAAGGCTTCTTCCATATCGATTGGTTGCGAGATTGGAAACGCAGCCCAGATGGGTCGACATATTCCGGGTTTGTCGGATCATGTTTTATTGGTGCGAAGAGTGACAGTATAGTATTGCGTAGATTCGATGTAGGTCGTAACGGTCCTGTGGCACTGAGCTGTATGTTAGAGATGTTTGTAAGGCCGGGAGGATGTGTTTACTTACTCGTGAGTGATTGTCTCCAGTCTCTCAAAAATCAGCCTCGATTGGTCCGCAGACCCAAAAAGGTAGAACGAGCATGATACGACCAAGAAAAAGGTGATGGCAATAAGGACCGCGCGATGATGAGCCAACATGGTGAAGTGAAAGTCTTTCTGAACAAAAGGGACTAAAATGGAGCACTTCGGTGATGACAACAAAAGGAAAGTGGGAGAGTGAATCTGAGGGTTGCACGACCACGGTGGCGCACAACTTATTATTATCCCAAAGAATGGAAGCCCATCAAATCACAAAGTTGGGGATTCAGGGCTGACGTCAGCTGTTACCGTACAAACGGACCGGCGCTACAAGAATCCCTTGCTGCCGATCTTGATAGTTGGAAACGGATGGCGGATAGAAGGTTTCGCTTGGTCAACAAGGCCACAGCTTTGTTGTGTACCTTCTCAACAAGAACAAGGCGTCGTTATTGTTACTCGCAAAAGCTACTAATTGAAGGCTCACATTTACTGCCGTGCCGCGCCGAACCGAACATGATGAAAGAGTTCATAGAGTAAGGAGTGGATTGGAAGGGCTGACCAAACTGTGAATCAAAAGGTCCGTATCAGGTCCGCAGGCATCATTTTCACTTGTTGGGTATCGCGTCAGCTAGTGTTCTCAGAAGCAGGGAGAGTAATGGCCCTAAGAACCAAGCCACAGGGGAATCGTTGTTTGACTCTCTCACCCTAATCAGGTGTAGATGTGGGTTTAGCGGCTGGGTTCTATCTCAGTAGTGTATGTGATGTACTTTCCAAGACACCTAGGGGTGGCACCTACACAATAAAGGATACGTAGGGAAGGGCGGTCACCTCTTTCTATGTTTCTCGTTCCTTGATCTACACCACTAATCCTATCTCGCTCTACCACAACCTCACTTAAACGCAATCAAACCCAACGCACGATTTGACCGTACAGTGTCTTACGCTGACTAACGTTTGTAAAGCCAGAATTACGCCGAAATACCCGAAATTACGGTACACTAAGGTGGCTCCTGGGCTGGAAGAGCATGGACAAGTAATTGGAAGTGAACGCTCCCTTCACGAAGCCTACCGGTACCTAACGCGTGGCTCCTGAAGCTTAAACAGAGTGTCCGCTGTCCGCACTTTCCTGTGAGGAAGCCCATGTTTCAACCAATGTAGCCAGTCGGGACGCATCAGCGATCCTGTCGGTCGACTACGGATCATGCCGAATGTGGAAAATCAATCGTCTACCACAGTAGCGTACCGGTACCTACCGCCCCGTACCAGATTCCCGACAACCTAAAGGTTGTCAAAAAAAAAACCTTTGAAAAGCCAAGCGACGCCTCGCCAAATTAAAATTCCGGTGCTGCAATCGAGAATTTTTTCAATGCTCTTTGTCTTCAAAAGAGTCCCGTCTGGTTATTGCTCAGTCGCGTTGGTTACATTTCCTGACTTCAGTTTCGCCCGAGTTGCAAGGCATGCGCGTGTAGTATGTGTGCAGTGGACTTGTCTGAAGTCGCTTCGTTCTTGGCAGTTGCTGACTCGATGAATGGATGCGAAAACCACATGAGAAACTATTGGAACCACGGCATGGCTTTCTTGCTTGAAGCGCGTGCATGATCAATGATGTTCACTTTACCATGTTGAAGTGGACAAATGACCGATTCAAATCTGCCGTACTCCTCTCCTTTGGCTTGAACCAAGCCATTTGGTAGGAGGGCGTGCCGCAAATCTCCGTATTAAGATTGCCATCGAAAAGCCTCGTTTGCGCCACCATGATAGATTTCTGGATGCCGGTTGTTGCAGGAAGGATATAGCTGATAATGGATGAAAGTTGCCTGGTGATCGCCAGGCACCTACAATGCTTGGGTCCATTTCTAGCCATTCCCGACTGACCCGATTGGGTCTACCGTAATCTGGCAGCTGGTAGTTGTACCGGTACGGTAGTTTACATAACTCACTCCTCCAACCGTACGAATCGTCAGTGGATCAGCACGCGTATATCCTCGCAACTTTACTGCCGCATGAATTACGTATATGGCACCCACATGGAGATGCGATATTTCACATCAGTAAGGTCTGGCGAAGATGTTCTTGCAGTGGGATCACGACAGCGTGCTAGCTAGGCGGTGATGAAACGTAGTCTTACGACGCACCGGCAAACGCTGATTACATATATTATTCTACTCGTACAGCATAGAGAATCACGCGATAGTGCATACGTCCAGGAAAGCACGACGTTTGTCTGAAGTGCGCGATCGTTGCTCGGTACCCGGCTTATGAACAAGACGTATTAGACATTTTGGGAATCTACTTGCCAAAAGTATAGGTGATTAGCTACCCACACCAAAAAGTGCTCACCACGTTTATAAAAAAGACTTGGGCATGTAGTAATAATTCAGCGATATACCGCCTATGGTATCTATCAGTTACGCAACTCTGACTGACTATATACAACAGTCACAACTCATGTACACAGCAGAACGTCTATAGAATATCCGCTGGCTTGACAAAGATCCAGTTCTTGTCCGCTGTCACCTCCCTTCCATTAGCTATTTGCGCAGCGGTATTGTTCTTGATCTCGCCCTGGATACGCTCCAAATAAGCGTCACGCCTGTTGATCCACAAGTGGACTCCGCCCTTGGCCGTATCTACGCCATGGAACAGCATAAACGAGTCGCTTCCGGGGGTGTCACCAGCAGCGAAGATGGGTATCTTCCACTCATCAATGTACGTCAGGATAGCCGCCCATTTGCCAGCGAACCAGGTAGCAGGTGTCCAGAGGTAGGGAGTCATGACGAGGTCGAGGTTGGCTTCGTAGTCGTAGATGCCTTCGGTGATTTGCTTGCGGGCATTGGTAAGGTCGCCAGAGGTGACATTTTTCAGCATAGTCGTCACGCCAATCACATTCTGAGGGGGCACGTTGTATCCGTACTTGGGGTCACTGGCCACGAAGCGGACGAGCTCCTCATGGGCAGCGCTGATGACGTAGACGGCGATGCCATTGTCCATCAGCGCATTGTAGAGCTCAGCTTGGCCACGAAAGACCTTGGGGGTGTTTACGGTGCTTTCGGTGATGTTGTCGCCATCCCAGTACTTTACTGGGAGTGTCGAATTGTATGCCATGAGCTCGTCCACATAGCCTTTGAGGTCGCGTAGGGAAAATCCTGACCAGATCTGTGCGACCCACGGGTAACACACTAAATCATCTACTTCACAAAGGCGGTTATAATAACTGTAAAGTGATTCTGTGAAGTTGGCTGTGTCCTTGAAGTCGATCAATTTCAGACTTGGGTCCATCTTCTCGCGCGTCAGGATACCGCGGTTCTCAAGAAATGGCAGTAGGGATTCTTCGAGATCGTAGCGGTAGCTAGTGTTGTCCATGTCGAAGACTGCATAGTTGCTTTGGTTGGCATTCTTTGCAATCATGGCATTAAGCTTTGCTGCAGCGTCAGCGGGCCAATGCTGTAGTTGGGTAGTCGATGTCCCACAGCTTGGTCCAGCAACACTTGGCGTGCTGGCGAAGGCGAGCCATAGAGCTACCGAGAAGAATGAATTGGAAGTGTGCATTTTGCTGTGGAATGGCAATTGAGCCTTGAAATACAGAGTGGTAGTTCCGGAGGGAGTTCGCAGGCCAAGGAACGAAGTCGTGCAGAGACTTCAGCGCGAATTTATAACGCCCAAATGAGGGCCCGAGATGGCAATTGAATACCGCCGGCGATGTGACCGAAAGGCATCCCGCACATAGTTCCTACAAAATTGAATGGAGTCTCGATTGGTAGAGATCATCTGCTCGGAGAGCGCTCACCACATGGAGTAAGTGCGCGTGTAGCGCACCCTTGGCAATGACGTCTTGGCCATTCGGGTATCTCTCTCTCTCTCTACTACCGTCCCCATGGTGTTGTTAGCTCCTCGTTGGCGCATCACCACATCCATCTCTGTTCTTCAATCCTGTTGTACGTGGCAATATCACTTCATTTGTAGACACGCACTGTTCCCAATTGGCTGTTCCAGGAGTTTGCTTCACCTAGGTGGAAAGGTGGAAACTGGCAAATCCTTCGACGCGACTAGGACACGACCGAGTCAGTGACGAAAACTATGACCCGTCTAACCGATAAAATAGCATGGGCCGATTCGCACTGCCGTATTGCCATGCAAATTATTCAGCGCGATAATCGCTCAAAGTATAGCTTTGAACGCAAGTTCGCATGCATTAAGCTTTCCGGTGATCTGCCTTTTGGAAGACCGGTAAGCTTGAGGCTCCACAACACAGCCTCTTGGAGACATTACCTGTGAAGTTCAGAGTGAAAGATAATGGAGTGGTGACGGGTTAACAGGGCTTCCAGCTGCAAAACGGCCATACAGGAAAGGAGGGATACGAATGGTGTTGTAAGCATACAAAGTAGACTGATCTCAAACTTTACTTAAACTTGAAATATGAACGCTTTGATTTAATTCTACAAAGTAGGTAGCGTCCACAATCCCAATCACACCCTCTACCCCAAAAGCGTAGCAGCCTTATAGATCTGATATATTGACAACCCAACCCCCACCGTGTACGCAAAACTCCTAATAAAGCTCTTGGAATGCTCAGCAATCTGCACATACGCCACCCCGTACACCGAGCGCGCAACAAAGAAGGCTCCGATAAACGTAGACAAGCCCGTGCCGTCACCACGCACAATCTCCCTTCCGATTCCTGCGGCCGTCGTCCTCTCCGCCATGATGCTTGCGAGAACCGCGACGGCGAACAAGGGCAATTGCTCGAGATTGTTCGATTGCGCATTCTCGGCACGCTGGTATTTCTGGAATCTGTGCGGCATGAAAGGGTGCAGTTAGTGGGTGTATAGATACAGTCTCAGGTGAATAGTTTCACGTACACTGCGTCTGGGACCTTTCCCTTCACGGCATCGGGCGCGAGAGAGGCCTTGGGGTTAGCATTGTTGACTTTATAGCCATTTGCTGAGAGAATGCTGCCGGCGTATATGTGGGGGACGAGCGAGAAGATGTAGTATGCTGGGATGGCGAGCAAGGGGTAGTTAAGCGAGTTGGCCATTTTGACCGTCAAAGTGATATGTTGATGTTTCGAGGGTGATTGGTTCCGTACGAGGTCAATTGATCCGAAAGTTGCGTTTTGTGAGGTATATTGGCTTCCAGTTGGGTGTTTTGTTGTGAGAGGGATGGTGCCAGTGGAGCGATGGTCTGACTAGCATGACGCGTTTCCAGAATTGCGTCATTCTTACGGCACACACGTGCGTGTCTATTTAGTTGTGGGGTAAGTCAAGCTTACCGCATAGAGTATAATCGCACACTTCCCCAGAATAATGCATCTTAGACTTGAGTGACAAAGTGTCTGGTTCAGCACGTTATATACAGTACAGTGTATAAGTCATGAAGTGGCACAAAGCCTAGTCAAGAATCAACACAACAAGGGCTAAGCAATACATCTGAGGAGGTGACGTTTGTTTCGGTAGCATTGGATGAATTCAATGAGGAACTAGACGCTTGTGAGGAAATAGTATACAGGAAAACCTGTGAAGTGCTTTCCAAACCTCGATTCTTGGTACAAACAAACGAGTCTGACACGCAAGAGCGATTAATTTTATCTCGTGATCTATATACCGTGCTTGGAAAATTAGTGGCATCCAAAAAAAAGCCAAGTTGGATCAATGTTATCGTTTGTACCGCATCCCTCAACTTCTCCGCAAAAATGCTCTCATACTCCTTCTTCGCTTGCAGAATGTCATCTCGATTGTAGCGTTGATCCTTAGGTATCCGTTCATAAATACGCTCAACTTTGTACAATCCAGCACAATAAATCCAGATCGCCCCTAGGCGCAGGTATCTCCCTGTTTGCCCTACTTGTTTGACAACAATCGCTGGCTGCCACCAGTAGGGCTTTGTCTTCGTTACGAATAGAGCACAGCAATCCAGGTTACCAGGTATACTGTCTGCGAAGCCGTAATTATCCCAACATATATGTCGTGTGACTAGCTTGCATGCGGCTTTCGATTGCAGTGGCTGAATAGCACTCGAATGATCGATATGTACTGAAGAAGCCTCTCGCATACCATCTAGGGCAAAAATGGGAGCTCGAACTGTAAGAAACGCTTTCTTGATATTACCAGAAACCGTGGGTCCAATGATGGAGTAGTCGATGTGCAGAATCTCCGCAATGTCTATACTTTCATCGTTTTCTGAATATATCACTGCACTGTGCGTAGATGCCCAAGACCAGGTCGGGATCCCCAAAGGTGATGTGGTAGCTTCGAGTATACGTTTCTTTATTGCTTCATCTCGAGAGCTGTCAAGCTGGTCTGTTTCGTCGAACGTCATCCACATCAGATCATTGGCAAGTGAAGATTCCCATAATCCTGCGAGATAGCGATCGCAGGGTCGAAAGGCCTCTAGACGCCTTGCGATGGCCGCGATCGCTGGCAAACGATCCTGTTGGCGACTCAGTTCCCGCCAAGCATATTTACACACAGTTGTGTGCCAACATTCGACCAAATCCTCAGTTGCATAGTCTGCAGGATGTGATCGGTATTTATCCCTTCCCACTGGCCGTCGCGCGTCGATACCAGTTCCGCTTTCGCGTTGCGTTCCATGGCGACATTGCCAGAATAATTCTTGCGTACCGAAGTAGATCACTCGATTGGACAAGCTGATCTCCTGAAAAACCCACCCTCTGTTCAGGAGAGGCCATGAATCTTGGCTACGGTGAAACTCTGGCTCGGATCCATGCGGACATACACGCCGGCATAGCCAGGCAGAGGATTCCCAATGCAAGCCCATGGGGTATTGCTAAAGCATCCTTTGGTAGGATTATCGGCGTGGGCCGCAGCGATTGTGATCATTGCGCCTTCATAAATATCAGCCATTGCGGCTGCCTGATTTTGCCAGTCTTCATCACAGTCTTGGATGATGCAAAGACTATCGATCCATATATAGCTTATGCCAAGTCTCTGACAAATCTGAACAGCGTCCTGGAAAGTTGATGGGAGTCTGTTCATAGCGATCCCGGTCTCCAAGTGATGGCTGAGACTAGCCTTTGGAAGTTTTGACAATGGCCTCGCCAGATCCCCAGCAGTGACTAAGACAGGCATATCTCTCAGGGTGAATATCTTGTTGGAGCAAAATTACGTCGTCTTTTATCTCCAGGAATCTGACATTTCTGTGTAGAGGTATAGGCGTGGGCACACATCCTTCATGCTCCTCGAGACACTCTGTAAGCCATCCGGTCATAGTTGTAAAAGTTGATTCAGAACTTGTAGAACCAGGTAACATAACCCCTATCGGAATATTGCCGTGCATGTATTCATGACCTTTCGTTTCAGTTATAGTTATCGTTGCGTACACACGCTCTGAAAGCATACCTCCTGGCAACTGGAAGGGTCTAAGGGAGACTACAAATCTATCTTCAGTCCAAATGGTCATGTTGGACCAGATATTCATATTTTGATGAATCGCTCACGTCTTCGTACCGTATCAGGGTCGGAACAGCCCAGTCAAGACAAGCCAAGAAGAGAACGAATATCGGACATAACTCTTTTGCTCCTTCCCTCAGCTCTTCAAGCTTCAGGGGATCAGTTTTACGGTAATCGCAGTGGTTACATACGTGATATTCATCCGGCGTAGTGTGCGTGACTTCAGCTTCCATGGTCCTGGTATACGAATCGTCCGCAACAGAAATGTTTCGCAAGAGTAGAACAAGCACATTCGAGTTCCATCAAAGAAGTAAGAAACCAAGTCAGAGACTTAACTGCCACCAGAGACCACCCTGGCAGCACTCTGCAACACCATCCACATTGGGTTCACCAGTCTGCTGATCTGTCGTGCGTCGCGATTGGCCAAGTCTCGGTGTATGTGGTTCTCTCAGCCGCGCTTACTCGCAGCTTCAGATGTGCATAGTTCGGATTCTTCTGTATTGGGGTGATAGAGCTGCATGAAGGTTGTGTAAGGGATGGGTGGTCGGTGTGGCTGACGTAGAAGCTCAAGCTTAATCAATCGGTCAGACGTCATCGACACTTGTCCCTTGCTATACCAGTACCGTATACCGTACTCCTTTTGACAGTCATCTCTACACATCTAAGATCAGGGTACAGAACACGTAGTATACATTTCATAATCAGGACAAAACGCTATACCACACATTCCAATACAACCCAACACAACCCAACCAACAAAAATCAAGGAATTATACATTTAGCAGTTGCCACCGCCTTTTCAGGTACATACACAGAGAGCTAGGCGTAAGTATAAGAAGAAGAAAAACTGGTAAGCTCCAGAGCATGCGGAAGATACAAGACGAGAAACCCCCTTCCGTAGATACACTTGACATTTGGTACTGTACACATATACACTGCATTGTACTGCACAGCATAGCACCAGACTAGACTAAACTACATCTCACTACATGATCCCAAGCCCCAGCTTCCCCCGCTCCCTTTTAAACAGGCAAAGCCACGCCCAAGCCCCTCAATCTCTCCACCGCCGCCTCAACAAGGACCTCGTTCCTCCGAATCAACTCGCCGACAACCTCATTCTCCATCTTGCGCGTATAACTCGGCACCTTGACCCCATCGCCCCGTTGCGCCGACAATGCACCTGCACCTGCACCCGCACCCGCACTCGTACCGGCTACCTCCTGTGCCTGGCGCAAAACCTCCTCCTTGCTGCTCTTCAGCCGCTGCACGCGTTCGTAAACCGGCGTCTCCTCACTGCCATCCACATCGGCCGAGAGCGTGCGACTTGATTTATCCAGCGTGGCGTCCATGAGCTGCAGTTCCTGGATCCAATCTGCTTCCTTGTCGCTGAGCTCCGTGGTGTTGATATTTGCCATTTTGCGGCGCAGAGCCTCGTAGCGTGCCGAAATTGCTTCCTGGCGCGACTTGACGCGGTCCAGGCGGTGGGAGATGTGTGCGGCGCCGTAGGCTGCATCGGAGGAGGAGGCGTCTTGGGAAGCCGTGTCTGTGCTGTCTGGGCCGCCGGTTACAGAGTCGATGTTCGCGGCGATTTGACTGGTTCGATAGACTTGATCGCGGAATTCTTCTTGGAGGCGGGTGGCGCGGTTGAAGAGGTCTGAGACGGCGTGTTGGAGCTTGCTTGTTTGGACGGAGAGGACGCGGTGCACGTCCATGAGTAGTTCTAGGTTTGCGGGTGAGAGACGAATTTCTTCCTTGAGGCTGCTGCGGTGGCGCGAGGGTATGTGGATTGCGCTTCTGATGTCGAATGGCTCGTATAGTTCTTTGGGCGGCTGCCATGGTTCGCGAACTTCCTTTGCAGGACCACTGATGGCCATATATCCCGCTATTTCGTCTGGAGTCGGTATATCCTCTTCCGGCGCATCGAGAAGTGCTGCAACGGGCTCGGAGTTGACGGTGGTCAGGAGAATGTAGCCAATGTTTCCGTCTTCGATTACGACAGCGGAGGTAACTTCTTGTTCTGCAACCTTGCCGGTAGTCCGACGCTGTAGGTATTGCTCGACAGTAGTGTTCGCCGATTCGAGAACGCGCTTGAGGCGGAAGTCTGAGCCTTCGATTTGGGGCTCTGAGAGCTCGTTTTCTAGTTTGCGGATCCAGGACTCGAGAGAAATGTAGAAGACACCACTGGCATGTGAGACAAAAAAGGAGAAGTCGGTGTGGATGTCGGGGGTTATGCTCTGATTGTAGGTGGACTCGTCGCTTTGGACAAGTGCAATGGTCTCGGCGATGGTGAGGTCGTGCTCGGGTATATCCTCTACATCGACATCATCCTGTATATGTTAGCAAGGGTTTTAATTCTCCATGGCAAATATCACATACGTCAGGAGCAGGCAACCAACGCCCCATAATACCCTCGAGATCCAAACAAACGTGCACTTCGCTCGTGTCAGTGAGCAGACACACGACAGCAGTTGGCAGGCCCTCGGCAGCCTCTTCCTCGGAGCTCTCTGAGAGGGTCTTCAACGAAAATACAATCATATCACTGAGCTCAAAATCGTCCACATCTGGCGTCACTGTGAATGGTCCTTGTAGCAATGGCACCACTGGTGTACTCGCAGGACGCGCAAACACCTTTACAGAATCGCCGTTGGGCAGCTCCTCGACGAATGGGTCGGCGTATATGATGTCTGCAAGCCACGCAACCTGTTTCTCCGAAGTCTTGACCTCTGCCGCTGATGCGTCGTCGTCTTCGGAGAGATTTGCGTAGTTGATGTTGATGGACGACGTGAGGGTCTGCAGGAAAGTGAAAGCTCCAGGCGATTCAACCAGCTGCCACTTGCTCGGTAGCAACGGACACAGAGCATACACGTCTCCCGGTACCGTAGCGATCCACAGCGTCATGGGCGCCCATCCATGCACGCCCTCCTGGTCTGGGAAGTCGCCAAAGCAGGCCGAAGCAATTTCGAGCTCCACAGAGTCTGGCGAGAAGCCCTTTGATGCTCCAAACGTGGAGGCACTGAGGTCATCCTGATCGCATGTGGCGTTTGCCAGCTTGGGCAGGTCGATGGAGAGCGAGGGTTCGCTGAAGGTGGACCGGTCTGCGCGGTTCACTTCCCACAGTCTGACGACGCCTGCTTTTGTGATGGTTACGAGACAGCGTCCGTGGTAGCCGAGGGGATGCCATAGTGTTGTTGCAATGGGCGATTCTTCGAGTACGTGTATGGTTGGTCCCACTTGAAACGTCTTGGGCTTGAGCGGGCTGTCGTCGCCAGTTTCCAGCAGCGAGGCGTCTGGGAGATGTACAACATGAACTGTATGCGAGGTTGAGACGCAAAGATAGTCACCACCTGGCGAGATGGTAAGACGCGTGATCGGCAGAGGTATCGACACTCGGAGGGTGCGATATGCGGGCTCGATGCCCTCTTTCACGTTGACCAGATCTGCCCAGCGCAGCTCGTTTCCCACGGCCACGAAAAGCTCTGAACCCCTCGCCGCAATCGTCTTTCGTGGACCAAAACCTCGGACTTTGTTTGTCGCCGCTGCATGTCCATTTCGTCGCCGCGGCGCAAATAAATCGTAGCCTGGGTTTGGGCGGCTGAGCCAGTCTGGCGTGTAGCTCAGGACCTTGGGCATAGTCGCAACTTCTCCTTCAACTCTCTCTCTCTCTCTCTCGATTCAGTCTCTCAATTAGAGGTAAGAGTATTCGCGTATGCGACAGGAGATACTATCAATGATGTTGTGGGGATGGTAAGAGAGAGCTAGTTTGGTCGTGGCCCATGTGCAAACAAAAAGATGCTGGGGGTGATGCTTCGGTGATATCGCGCTAGGACCTAGGTAACTTACGCGTTTCGTCTCGAGACAGCTCTCTTTCTCCCCTCTGTCTCCACGGGCCGGGGCACCTTGAACACTCTTGCACGACTAACCACAGCAGCCCCAACACCAAGACCAGAACACCAATCAACATCTAGACTTGTGCGCGCGCAGATAAGAAAGACTTACACGACTGGCGCAACGCTCATACACGGCCAAGATGCCTGCGCTACGAAGCACCGTAGAACGCCTCGACAAGCCGTCTTCATATGCCACATCCAAAGTATGCGCCAATCTCCTCTCCCTCTCAAGAAAGAGACATGTCTAATGCCAAACCCCCCAGAAGCGCCGTCGCGACCGCCGCGACCACCGCGACCAGTCCCCCTCGCAGCGCTCGCCCTCGCCCGAAGACAAACTGCGCGACGCGACCACGCTGTACGTTGGAAACCTCTCCTTCTACACAACCGAAGAGCAGATCCACGAGCTCTTTTCAAAATGCGGCGAAATCAAGCGGCTGGTGATGGGGCTTGACCGCTTCCAAAAGACACCCTGTGGCTTCTGCTTTGTCGAGTACTACACGCACCAGGATGCGCTGGACTGCATGAAGTATATTGGGGGTACCAAGCTGGATGAGCGGATCATCAGGACGGATTTGGATGAGGGGTTTGCAGAGGGGAGGCAGTATGGACGCGGCAAGAGTGGCGGGCAGGTGAGGGATGAGTATAGGAATGAGTATGATCCTGGTAGGGGGGGTTATGGAAGGGCCGTGGACGAGTATCATGAGGCGCAGTAGGTGGAGAGAGCTGCTGGGATGCGAGGAAGGCCTCTGAGCACATGTGAGCCAGCCAGTCGCGATTTATGCTGTGGCACCGGAGTTTGGAGTCATTTTCAAAGGTAGCTATTCCTCCTTACTCTTACTCTTCACGAGGTACATAATGCTCATCCGCACAGAGAGTGCTACTAAATGCAAAAAGTCTACACGAGCCCCGCCCGCTGCTCGCTGCTCGCTGCCCGCTGATCCTCTAATATGCTTCACCGTACTTTGTATATTCCAACTAGACCTTTGTCCGATCCGCAAGCTCAAACTGCCTCCTCCTTTCTACTGCTCCAACAACCTCTCCCAACCACCAGCTATGTATGCGCGCATCGTTCGTCAACTCTGGGTGAAAACTACATCCAAACACGTTCCCTTGTCTCACCGCGATGATTTCCTCATGGCCCTGTCCTTGCTCCCCGTTCGTCGTGTCCGCGCCCAGCGTCGCCATGACTTCCACTTGGGCATTCAGTTCCAGCCGCGCCAGTTCGTCACCTGGGGTCTGACTGGGGGCAACGACTGTATCTTCGAGGCCTTTCTCGCCATCTTGCTCGCCCTCTTGTTTGTGGGGCAGAATCTTTTCTACGACGGGGGCGCGGATGAAGACGCATCGATATGGTTCTTGCTCCTTTTCATCTTGATTTCCAGACGAAAGGAAGGGCAGGTTCAGACCTTTGACGAAACTCTCCTGCTGTCTCCCGAAGTGATTTCTTCGGACGCGCACGTCCAATCCGCCCACTAGTTCCTGACCTCCCTTCTTGGTCCGATTTGCACTCTCGGCCAATAATATCAGGCCTGCGCATGTTCCCCATGTTGGTCGCCGGAGTACTTTGACAAAAGAGCGGAGGGGTTCGAGGAGGTTGGAGCGAGAAGCGACAAGAGACATGGTTGTTGATTCGCCGCCGGGAATGATGAGAGCATCGCATTGTGCCAGTTGCTCCGCAGTGCGAATCTCGAGAAGGTAGAAAGTGTGATTGGGGTACTGACGCGAGGCAGCGCGCAATAATTGAATGTGTTCGCTGAATGCGCCCTGGAGGGCGAGCACGCCGATTGTGATAGTGGCGGGGTTTGGGTGGGAGACGGTCATTTATGCGTAAAGTGAGCTGGATTGAGACGCCGAAACTCCGAGATATGAAACGGGAAATAGAAGAAAAGAAGAGGAGGAGGAGGAGAGTATAACGGGGCCTGGGCTGGCGAAGGAGAAGCGGCGTTAAGAGTACAGTCACACGTTCGTACAAGGAAAGCGGGACCGAGGAAGCACTAGAAAATGGCTTATCGATAGAAAGAACATTCTGTCGTCGGTACGTAACTTCCCATTACTCGGATTACTCAGCCTACCCGACCAGTAGAGTAGCCCTTGCGCTGCATCCGAGTCAGGGTCGATGAAGAGACAGCAGTCGCGAATCATGGTCCTTCTTCGAGTTACTCTCTTGCGGCTCTGGAACCCCGCACATGCCGTGAATAGCCTGTTCACCTGCCTTCGCACCCATCACCACCACGACATGCACCTGTCCGGCTTGTGTGAGCAAATAGGGCTGACCCGTTTCCCGACGGCTGACGAGAACCTACTACAAAGCAAGTGTCTAGTCGCTTGCTCCACGGCCTGAGCTACCCAACAAGCGGCATTGTTAGTTTAGATTTTGATCACCATTCAGTCTACGAATCTGTCTACCATGGACACGTCGACTGCGGGCCGGGACGCTCGACGCGGTCTCACGTGCTGGCTACTGGATACGCGTTCACTATGGCCTGGCAACAAGATCACAGATTCAGATTCAGTATATCATTCCCCCTTTACCCCTTGTCACTCAGCCATGGCTGACGACATGTACAGGCAAGAGAAGCGTTGGCCTTGCTCAGCCCTGAAGAGCAATCCAATGTAACGCGCAAATATCACATTGCCGATGCCCGCATGTCTCTTGCTTCGGCCCTGCTGAAACGCGTCTTCGTCCACCAGACCCTAGGAACTCCGTGGCAGGAAATCAAGTTTAGTCGAAAGCGCGACCCCAAGCATGGCAAACCCTGCGCTGTCCTTGCCAATGGCTCCCCCGCCCCCATCGAATTCAACATCAGCCACCAGGCCGGCCTCGTCGCCCTCGTAGGCTGCAAGACAGACGATGGAGACGTTGAATTAGGCGTAGACATTGTATGCGTCAACGAACGCAACGAACTCAATACCATTGACCAAGAAGGCTTCGACGGCTGGATAGACATTTACACGGATATCTTCAGCCACGAGGAATCCTTCGACATGAAATACACGGGGCTTTCCTTTCCCCTCCTCGACGGCACCATGATCACGCCTGAGGCGCTGGGCCGGCACGACCGCTGTTGCACACGTGGTCGAGACTTGTCTCTGACGGTGGCCAATGGCGAGAGCAGGACGGTGAGTAGTGATTTATTGATTGATGCCAAACTACGCCGCTTCTACACGTATTGGGCGTACAAGGAGGCCTTTATCAAACTCGACGGCGAGGCTCTCCTCGCGCAATGGATTCCGCGACTGGAGTTTAAAAAGGTGCGAGCGCCTGCTCCCGGGAGCCCTGCACGGTGCAGTACGCATGGTGTTTGGGGGGAACGGGTGAGCGAGGCAGAAGTCTGGTTCACGGCGAAGAAGGGAGGAGAGGGGCCGAGGGGGGTGGAAGGGGTGGAAGGGGAGAGTAGGAGGTTGGAGGATGTGAGGATGGAGATTGTGGGGTTTGAAGAGAGTTTCATGGTTGCGGTTGCTATTAGGGGAGTGGTTGATGGTGATGAGGCGGGGTTGACGGCGTTTGAAGCGTTGGATTTGGAGAAGGATGTGTTGGGTGGCGTTTGAAGCGTTGGATTTGGAGAAGGATGTGTTGGGTGGCGTTTGAAGCGTTGGATTTGGAGAAGGATGGGTTGGGTGGCGTTTGAAGCGTTGGATTTGGAGAAGGATGGGTTGGGTGGCGTTTGAAGCGTTGGATTTGGAGAAGGATGGGTTGGGTGTGGCGAGGGGGGCGTGATGAACTCCATCATGTTCATGTCAACTACTCTATACTTTCTCCTCTTTTTAGTAGTCCCTTTTCCTCTCCACCGGTCGAGTATAGAATGTAGTGGGCAACGAGGACGGGAGATTGCATGGAGGACAGCGTAGTGCAGGAGCAGACTGGGATCAGAATGCAGGCAGTTTGCAAGATGGGGTGTGTTCCCAAGCATGCGCAGCAAAAGGCTTCCGTGTGACCCGACAGAGTGGAAGAGGGTAGGTAGCGTAAGCGAGGGGCGAGAAACAGAGTGCCAATCAGGAGCAGCGATGACCGGGATGCAATGCACTGCATCCTTCTCTCATGCAGCGATATCTCGTACTCTGTCAACGTGCATTTCCCAGGGCTGAGCATGTATATTGCGGCGAGGTTGATGTTGCAGTCGAGTGAGTACTCTAGTAGGATGGGTGCATGACTGTGTCGACGGAGGGGGGTTGTGGTGGTTGTGCCTCACTCCCACTCTCCCTCCTCCTCCTCCTCCTCCTCCTCCTCCACCTCCTCCTCGTCCTCCCCACTTGCTGGCGGTTCGGTTGGTTTTGATCACGTCCGGATCACACAATCACGGCGCGAGACGAGAAGGGGCCATGCAAAGACTAGGCTCATTCTTCTGGCCAAGCTTCTTGATTGCGTGCGTGGAGCCCTCGACCGTCATCGTGGGAGTGGAGAGAGTGGGGTGGGACTGGCTGCCCCGGCTGGACAAAGTCGAGAGAGAAGAGAGGAGGAGGAGGAGGAGGAGGAGGAGGCGGAGGGGTGGCAGCACAACACTCGGTGTTTGGGCGCTTAGAGCAAGTGCAGTAGGAGTGCCTGGGGGAACTGCAAAGCCCATCACACCCTCATTGGCCAATCAGCGCAGTCACCGCCATCCGCCTCGACCCTCCTCGGCTCGCCCTTGGCCCGGCCAGGTTTGTGGCGGCCCCCCAAGACCACCTTCCGGGCGTCTGATTGGCCCAGCACAGCCCAAGACCC